ATAATATTCCATTTTATAGCCATATCATATGAAATTTATCCATTCAAGGGCACACCCTTGCCCATGTGCAGAGTTATCCAGGATCCAGGGATGACAGTGATTATAGCAAAGTCCCTCTTGTCTCTTTCCCTAATCTTTCTGTAAAAGCTGTCTCCCTCAGTTGGTATCACACTCAGATATTAGCTTTCCCTAATTGCCAGCTGGTTGTTCTCTTGTTTTTCACCACAATTCCCTGATATGCGAATCGCTCCAGAGTCTGGTTCAATTACATTTGAGCAGGAGTAGTTTTTGAGGCCAGTCTTTGAAGTTTGTTCTGACCCCAGGAGGGCATTTCTAAGCTGTCTCTTTTCCTGGTTCTCTGAAACTATCTGGCTACTATTTAGCTTGTTGTCCTAATGCCTCCTTTTAATTGCTTACTCCAAAATCTCCATTCTTTTTAATAGTCACCTTAGACTTGAACTTCCTCATACTCTACATCAGATAAAATCAATTCCTTGGGATAGAGCTTTAGAGGTATCTGTATTCTTAGGGACCCTTTGTCAAACATTACGAGCCCGTGTTCTGAGCATTGGGCTGGGATGGTAGCCTCTGGTCTTCTCATCTCAGCCTGCCCTTCTGGGCATGGAACCTCAGCCCTGCAAGGAAGCAGGAATGAGGGCAATCAGAACCTCACTATTCTCGACCTCCCACAAGTAGGATAGAGCTTCCACTTTACGAATGGGGGCTGCTCGGACAGAGGGAGTGCATGACCACTCAGCTACACTCACCGGGAATCTAACCTCTGCAACTTGGAGTTAGAGAGTATTAGAAATGCTGCTGGCCCGCCCTTTTAATAAGATACCATATCCCTTGGATGGGAGCTGAGGAGACAGAAGCCATCCATCCTCTTGGGCACACCCACCCAGAGTGGAGCTTCTTTCAAGCTGACTTGGGGAAGGAAGTGTGGGAGGGAGCAAATCATGGCTCAGGTGCCATAGAGTCTCTGTTCTTACCAAGTTTTAGTAGATTTTCTTGAATAAATATTTCTTCATCCTTTTTATGTTCTTAGGACAATTTCCAGAGACTTTTAATTGGTTGTTTAATTTTGTTTGGTTTTTTAATACAATTTTTTTCCAGTTAAGTTTGTTTGGTTGGGGATAGGGCCTCACATTGCCATTGTTGAAGTGTTCCCCCCCAGAATTATTTTTTTAAAGGCTGTGCCAAAGAAAATTCCTAGTTTCATCACATAGGCCGAGCTTTAATTTTCTTATCTGTAAATGGGGCTAATATTCCACACCACACTGCCTGGGACTAGTAACCCTAAGTAACTGTTAGTTTCTTCTTTCCCTCCTCTTATCTCACTTTTGGGGCTTAGAGAAGTTCTAGTTGAATAAAGATGCCTGCCCAATAATGCATTGTCATGTTTAAAAATTTTAAATCTCCAAGAAAGTATCTCAAGCAAAGTGAGAAGTATATGTAAACACTTTTAAAAACTGATCTTCAGACCTGAACCAGGGTCCTTTTAGAGTTTCCGCTCATGAGAATATACTTTAACAAAACCAGAAACCTCATGACTCAAGGTCTCTTTCTTCTTCCTCCCCTTCTCTCAACACCTACCCCTACCCCAATCTCTTCCAACTCACTTCCCTCCTGCATTAAAACCTTCCACCAACATATGAGAATTACTGAATAGAAACTAAATGATTGAATAGTTAAAAGAATAAAATTTAGTCAGCCTTTATGAAGATTTGTAAAGTGACTAGTAATCAGTATTCTCTCTGAGCTGTTTTTGTGCAGCAATCTGGACCTTGAAATAACCCTCATCTCTCTCTCTCTCGCTCTCTCGCTCTCTCTTCCTCCCCCTATCTTTCTTTCTATTAAGAAGTGACAATTCTGTGAAAGTCATTTCCAGTCCTGCGTGTTTATTCATTTAACAAAGATGATTTAATGCCTAGACTGTGTGTAGCACTCTTCTAGGTACTTGGTCCCTGGAATGCATCTTAAGAGATGAGATGGGATTTGAGGAGCTGCCCAATCAGCATATGCCTCACCAAACCAAAACATGATTGTCATGTTTGCTTAATCTTTATGCAGCTCATAGCTTAAAATGATCGGAAGGAATATCTTTTTTTTTGTGAGGGGGGTTCTCTTTATATATTTTTAATTGAATTGGGGGTGTGACCCAAGGAGAGGCTCTAATTGATGCTTAACCTTTATCTCCACCTTGTACTAGCTTTAGACCTGGCCAAGGACAAATAGCATCTTGCTTTCAAAATCTCATGCAGGTAATATTGAACAACCAGAATCCCTTAAAATTGATTCCTAAACTGCTACAAATGTTTTGAGCTTCTTAAAAGATCTAGAACCTGGTTGGTTCTACTTAAAAACCTAGCAATCTTCTTTTAAATAAAGAATTTAGAGAACAGATAGACTTATAAAAATTTTAACCTGAAACTAGGGGGATTTTATGTACTTTGGATTGTGAACTGAAAATTACATTATTTTGTTTAGCGGTGCATAATTAACCCTTACTGCTTTCAGTATTAGCAAGAAATACTCCTACATTTAAGAAATGTCTTGTATATAAATAACTATAATGTTAGACAGAAAATATTTGTTATAATAGAGGAGCTAAAAATTCCACTTAAAACAGATAAGGAACAGATTTATTCCTCTTAGACAGGATTAGAAATTGTTTCATAAAGGAAATGTCATCTGGTCCAAAGCCAATGAGAGGGCAGAAATGTAGGGACATCATAAAAGCAACCCAAGTACGTTACAGGCTGCTTTTAGAGACCAGCCAGTAATCCCACGTGACTGGAGCACTGGGAAAAGGGAAATGAAATTCAAGGATTTGTAGTAATCGTGAAGACCCTGAAATGTCATCAACGGAGTTGGTTTATTTTGAAGCCAACTGAAAACCATGGAAGGGTTTCGAAACAGGGAGTTATAATCAAAACTTCCTTAAAGAGATTATTCTGACACCCATGTATAAAATAGATTAAAAAAAAATCAGAGGTTGGAAGACCAGTAAAGAGGCCAGGTGGACCTGAACTGAGAGAGCAAAATCACAGTAGATGTCAGTTCTATAAACATGAAACAGGAATCAGAATCAAGGGAATGGATGCAAGAGCTACTATAATGAGGATGACCAGAACTTGGGAACCAATGCCAGCAGTTAAAGAGAGAGCACAAGATGTTTTGCAGTTGGATGTCTGTGTTCTAGGGAGGTTGACAATGTTCTTAAAAAGAATAAGGAAAAAGAAAGATAAGGTTTGGGGAAAGAAGGAAAGTGATGTTTCACTTATTCAATAAATATTTATTGAGCACTTACTTTGTATCAGGAACTGTTCCAGGTGACAGAGACCTATCTTTAATTTTTAAAACACTTTATGTTGTCAAGTCAGTGTTCCCAGTCTGTGTGACTCAAAGGCAGAACAGGAGCCAGGGAGTAGGAGTCAGGTAGGAAGTAAAATATCTTTTGGGGGGGGGGTTCTCTTTATATATTTTTAATTGAAGTATAGTCAGTTATAATGTGTCAATTTCCGGTAGTAAAATATCTTTCTAATAAATGGCGGCTTTTTGTTAAGTAGTAAGAGCTCTGTTACAGGCAGTATTCCAGCATAAGTTGGATGATATTCCCCCAGGAACGCTGTGACAAGGGATTCCTGCATGAAGAGGGACTAACCTTTCTGCAAGTTCTCTCCCAACCTTAAGGAAGAGTCTGTTCTTTCATGATCTGTTCCTGTGGGTTCTACTATTAATCTCTGGTTTCTCTCAATTATTAAATAAATTGCTCAGTCTGTCTGCCATTCAGTAAAACTCACACATTTATATCTGTTATTAAATTTTATTTTTGGTTAGGGCTCTTCTTTATTAAAAATTCTACCCAGTAATGTTACCTTTAGAGCTAATTTAGAATGCCAACCCTGGTAGACTGGGTTATTAATATCAGAGGGGAAAAGGACTTCTTGTGCCTAATAGTATTTTTGTTTGGAAGAAGCCTCGCAGATGAGAAATGAATTATCTTGACTTCAAGATTGCGATGCAGTTTCTATATTTTGCAGTAATTCAAGAAGGAAAAAAAATACCTCAGAGAGGTTCATTTTGATACAGCATGGTAAAGAAAGAGAATAATTGTTCTCCAAGCACTGCAGAGCTTTAGATCGGAAACATATATCTGTGCTGCATGTAAAAAAAGAAGAAAGGGAAAGAAAGAGGAAAAAAGGAACAAGGGAACCTGTAGGGAGCTCGCCTATAAGCTATAGTTAAAGCTTTGCATTTCCTGGTGTCTTTTGAAACGTCAGATTCCACAACAAATAGCTCTGTAACGTATAACCAGTATGAAGATTCAATTCAGATTTAAGCACTTTGGTTTGCGTTTGAATCTTGCTATTTTCTGCATTTGTTTTGACTGCTCTCATCATTCAAGATTGACGCTTGGATGGGTGTGTAGGAGGAAGCAGCAGCAGCAGGCTTACAGCTTGCAGACAAAAAAAATCTGCCTTATCTGATGGCTATTATTGAAAATGCGAGGTGTAGCCTGGGCTGGGTAATGAAGGGGAGCGAGCGAGGGGGAGCACGGAGCATGGAGCTGCATACTGATGAGTGTAGGAGTACTTGATAAAAAGAATTCTGGCTGCCGGCCGTGCATTGCTCATTGTGGAGTACTCCAACAATCACATAGAACGCAGACCAGCCTAAGCTGACAGCTTGATATGCCTTCTTCTGCTGCCTGGTTTTGGGGGCTGTATGACGTACTGGTCGGTAGTAAAGATTAATATGTAAGAAATGTGGAGCTAGGATCAAGTCATACTCTACAGCCTGCCTGGCAAACTATGTTTTACTTCTGACTTTGCTCTCTCGCTGAGAACATTAATCTGTCAAGCTGGCGGGCTCCTTTGATAGCAACTTTCCCAGGAGCATGATGTGGCAATGCCACCTCTCAGCCCAGGACTACCGCTATTACCCCGTGGACGGCTACTCCCTGCTTAAACGCTTCCCTCTTCATCCTCTTACAGGACCCCGATGCCCTGTCCAAACAGTGGGACAATGGTTGGAAAGCATTGGGCTACCTCAGTACGAGAACCACCTGATGGCTAATGGATTTGACAATGTGCAGTTTATGGTAAGATGCTCTCTGTGTCCACAGAGCTGCCTTTTGTCTGTCTTTTCTTCTTATGTGTCTTACACGGCTCAGAGGCAGCCTGATTTGCACCAAAACCGGTCAGTTTTATATGTGTAACTGCATCAGAAAATCGGATGCCCTTAGGACTGAACTTATTGTGTACATATAGACACTTGCTGAAAAATGAGATCTATGTGCATCCATATACTTGTGTATTATATGAATGAACCGGTGCGAGTACTATTTATAGGCAGTGAAAGATTAACATTTATATTCTCCCTGTCATTCTTTGTGTGATTTTTATAAATTTGTAATCTTGGAATACCCAGTTATATTATAGCACTCTCCAGTTAATTCTAGGTTCCTAAAACATATTATTTCATTTGAACGTCAGCATTTTAGTGGTTAATTAGACAATTTGTCATGTTTACCATGTGAAGATCATTTTTTCCCTGATAATTGTCTGATAAGCAGTTTAAATTGTGTGGGTGACCTTTAGTTCGTTAGCAAACTACTTCAGATGGTCAATGATAGAGAGCTTTCACTTACTTCATATGCTGATTAAAGAGCAATGAGGTATTGTTTATTTCTGTAAGTAAAAAACAAACACTTCAGTCAATTAACTGTCAATATCTAGAAAGAGAGGCTGATGGACTAGGAACATTCGTGTACTTCTGAATACTGGTCTGCCTGCAAACTAAATCTGGTGTGTGCCAGCTTCCCACTGTGATGAATATAGGTGAGGAAGGAGGATGGGGAGATGTGCAGACCCATAATACAGCTTTCTAATCATTTACATACCACCCCCAGTGCTCATCAGTTTCCCTTGTTAAGCTACGTCACAGTCCTCAATACCTTTCCTTGCTTTTAAGGTCCCATCACACAATATTACTGATCCCTAAATTTAGAGAGAGCTATATAATATAGGCATGTAGCACATAAATGGCTTGCAGAAACAATTAATAGCCATTTCCAAATAAAATGCTGGGGCTAACACCTGAAGCTTATTAATAACAGAATTGATAACACGATACTGAGAGCTGGTCATGTCTTTTTATTTCCATTTGAGATTATTTTCTCCAAGCTTGTCTTGACTATTGTAGATTTGAAAATTATTCAAATTGTTAAACTTCTGCTTCTTCTCCAAAAATATGTGTGCCCTGTGAGCTTTTTATAAAAAGCTACATAAAGGTAGTAAGACATATGAGCTATAAGTAATTCTATCCATCGAATCCTTTATGAACCTATTTTTTATAATGAGATATAAAGCCACTGTTATTTTTCTCATGTCTAAGAATACTGTCACTGACTAGACTGATATTGTGGGTATTGAAATAGAGAAAAAGTGAAATTGCTTCAATTGCTATGAGTCTTAGGACACTGAGCAGAATTAGGACAGACTTAGGGCACTAAACATGACACTAAGAATTAGAGGAACTGTCAAACAGAATGAAAGTCTTTTCATCGTTATTTATGCACATGTTGATAAGTCTTTATTCTCTCTCCTTACCTTTGCTTGAAGTAAGACTTTCTCATTTCCACTCCTCAAACCCTTGTCCAAATTTATTCTGGTCCCATGAGAAGTTAGGTAGGAATTTGGATTCTCTGGATTATTTGTCTGCTTTGAAAGATTTAAATTCAGCATAATTTTCTTCCGAATGTTAAATACTTTTGAACAAATATAATCTCTTTTTGAAAGCCCAATTCAAAGGTTAATCAAACAGGTTTCAAATAAGCATTTGGAGATCGTAGAAAAGTATTCATGAATGAAATATGTATAAGCATCCAAAATTGATCTGGGAGGCACAAATCCTGGACATGTGTGACAAAACCAAGGTCTGATCTTTTCCATAGATAATTGTCTTTATTTTTTTTAATTTCAAGTATTGTATATAATTTTCCAGAAATTAAGAAAACATGGTTAATTCAGATGAATCAATCAAATATTTTCTACATGAGATAGAATTAACTTTAAAATTCTGAATTGTAATTCAGAGGAGTTAATTAATTATGAAAATGAAGCAAATCATAAAATGGTGTTACCAATTATTACTTTACATGTAGCTATACACCATTTATTTACTACTCGTATCATAGAATCAATTTCTGCCTCTAAAAAAATTATTTATTGATCTCCATAATCTAATTTATTTAATTATGAACTTAGTTAAAGTACCCTAATATGATCAGCCAACTTTAAGAAACAGATTTCATTAATGTGGTGAAAAATCTGTTAGACCCGCTTGGTCTTCACTCAGTATCATATTCTAGCTTTTGTTTTTCTTGAAGCACATTCTGACCTGCGTTTATTCATCCTGTTGCCTAAGCAACAAGCACCACACTCCTATTAACTATGATGTAGTGCAGGTCTTATTAGCTTTTTAGAACAAGACAGTAGAGACTGCAAAAGGATATAATTAATGTTGGTTGAAACATCATAGTACATCCATGCATAGATATACTTTATTTAGGAAACATTCTCGAGTCAATTTTTCATTTAATCAGTATTCCATTAACAAATGTGAGTTTCAAAGGGTCCATATAAGTAACTTGCAAAGTATTGAAAGCTTTAAGAAAAAATTTTGTTAACTCTGTTCTACATGCTCTTACACATAAGCGCAACATATGGATGATTTATGCACCTGGCTATGATTAACTTTAATAAAGATTTATTACATCAATTCCTCAACATGGTTAGAAAAGTAGGACCCCCATTTATTTTTAGATATTTATCAATCATTGCTTCTTTGGGCTCTTAAAACTTATCCTTGATTTTATTGATGTGTCAAATTTTATTTTTCAATAGCTGAAAGTCAAAATTCCAAACTTTTTCTTTGTGTATTTGGTTCTGGTTTGCAGAATAGTTGTGCGCACAGTATTGACCCTTATGTATTCTTAAAAAATAAAAAATAAATGGAAATTGGTACAAAGAATAGCTGCAAAAGTACATGGGGTCACCTAAGACTTTGGAAAAGTCAGATCCATGTTGCAACCAGAAGTTCCTTCAACACAGAACCCTTTGTCTGAAGACTTATCCGAGCCCTACTCTACCTGCTCTCTCTGAAGTCATACATCATCAGCTCCCTTCCAATTAGGCATGTCTGCCTGTACTCACTGGCCTTGGGGAATACTGCCATAGTCCTCTGACATCCCACCCATTTTCCCCAACTTTGCAACACACAAAATGTGTCTAAGTTTCGACTTTACATTTCTTTTCATCAAGGAGTTTAGGTGTGAAGTGATTACTATACAAAATGCACATGCTGATTTACTTCCTTATTATATATGTTTCTACCATCATCTCTTTTCCTAGCCTGATGACTGCTTCCCAAAATTTAAGTCTCAAACTACCTATCCTTGTCGTGATGACGGCTCATTTGTACTCTGCCTCAGCCTCCACAGCTATTTCCTTTCCTTTCTCTCTGTCTTTTATCCTCAAAGGTCTAACTCAGTTCCTGCCTTGTTTCTGTAGCTTTGCTTGAGGATTCCAGTCCTTAGCAGCCTCTCTTTTCTCTGAACTCATGTATTGGTTGTATTCAGCATGAAAAATTACATTTGGCATGCCATTATTCACTCTCTAGAATTAGGAGTTAAGTTTTCACTTGTATATATATCATCTCCCCAAAACTGGAAGCCATTCAGATCCAAGTTCTGCGGATTCAATTTCCTTTCCTTTCTCACACTCCTAGCACAATGTTGTGTACCCAGAAATCTCCCCATAAAAACTGGATGCACAGCAGAATGGTGTAGATGGACTGCCAGCCTCATTTTTAAACTGGAAGCCTTGTTTTACCAGTGGAAACATAGAGCATTAGTACCCTTCACTCATTCACACAATAAATACTCCATAAATATTGTTTGTGGGCTAGGGACAGTCTTAATTCCTAGCGATGTAGCAGTAAATGATACATGATCTTTGACCTCAGGCAGGTTACAGTATTGCTCTCAGAACTATCATATTATTTGCATGGACATTGCTCACACATTCCTTCATATGCTCACACACGTGTATACACACCCTATGTCACGAGGGTCTTGCCCCTCATCTTTCCATATAATCACCATTCTTCAACATATTACTTACTAGCAATTTTTTTTTAGCAACAAATTGCAGTAGGTAATGGAAAAGGTAAAAATCTAACATCGCATGGAATAAAAGAAGATAAAATTACTGATAACATCAAAACACTGGCTGTGTTATGATTTATAGTCCAAAGACTGTATTAAGAAGTTTATATTACTTGGAAGACTGACCCATATCTTCACCATGATAACTAGCTAACAATCATATTTGTCACCTCTAATTAAAAAGGGGGAAGAATAAAATTATACCAACTCATTTTTTAAACATCTCCTATGTTTCAAGTAATTGCTATCGAGGTTGGGCTGGGATGCTTTAACCACTATTAAAATATTCAAAATACAGCCTTTACAGAGTAAGATATAAAAATAATATCAGGAGCCCTATGTGAACTGGCATTCTGTACACTTGGGTAGATAGCCTTCATAAAGAACTGAAGGTCAAAGCGAGTACTGCCTGTTAGATACTGAAGTGGAGTCACAGAGTCCTTGGAAGTCATTCACTGAGCTAAAGATCTGAGCAAGATTGATCTTATAAGTATTTAATTGAAACTTTTTTCATTTTTGTGGTATATTTTACATGCTAATAGACTTCTCTTTTCTGCTCTTATATAACTTTTCTGTAATACGAGCACCATTTGCGGTTGACCTGATAAAATGATCTTTTAAGTATCTTAGCAGCATGTTATGATCCAAGTAAGAAGTTAAATTTGTGAAGCAGAAAAATAAATTGTCTCTAAAGGGTAAGACTAATAACCTCCGTGATGATTTCCTGTTTCAAACATTGCTTAAGAAAATGTTATAAAGGTACTGAGATTTAAAGGTATAAAAGAAATATACCTGCCACACTCCCTACGGCTTCCTGTTTCTGAAACAGGCTAGGCTCTGAATTGAGTGGGTGGCTTTATATCAGAAGTGCA